TTTTTTTTTTTTTTTCTAGAGAACTTCTCAACGTCTAACAAGAAAGAAGAAAAAGAACTGTAGTTAAAACTACAGGGTGATGTGCGGCCAAAAGCTTTGAAAAATTTCACAAACCACACCTCTTTGATTACTTATGTCCGTGCAATAAAGTGTCACTTCTACAACGATAAACCAGTTCCTATAATGTTATAAAGTTTTAGCAAATTAAAGAAACTACTGAACTACTGAAAAAAGAAAGAAAAACAGTTCACATAGTTATATGCTGCCTATTTTGAAGCTGTGAACCTTATTCAGCACCTGTAAAATTTTATTTTCAAGCAGCAACTCAACTGGTACACTAATGAAGCGGTGTCTAGCATAACTGTTGACTAGCAACTTCTTAGCCTTGATTTGGATTACCTTAAAAAATTAGATGTGAAACTTTTGAGGGAACAAATCCAGACGGTAAAAGAGCAATGGATAAAATTAGGCGCAACTTGAACTTTTACAGAAGTCTAAGTCTGCACTGTATAAAAATTTCTACCACTGATCTCAATTTCATTTAGTTTATTTGTCAATTAGAGATGCTTTTAGTTGATCTTATTATTTAATATTTGTGTAAAACGAGAAAAAAAATTTTTTTTAATGGCTTTTTATGCTCAAAGTTTGAAACATGTTGAGAATGGATTTATGGAATTTTATATTTCATAACGCAAATGTCCAGTAGCGATGACGTAAATTCAATTCTTATATTGTAGGAAAGAAGTGCCTTTCGAAGGTTAGTGTGGGTTTATTTGGTGGAGTAAAAGAGTATATTAAACTGGGTGTATAAATGTTCTTATTTCAAGTACTTTTTGCCCAAATTTGAGGCAATGAGTGTATTTGTCAGGCCAAATATAATCGAAGCATATTTCTTTTATAGTACTTCATAGGCTTTCTACGAAAATTTTTTCTATTTCTACAAATTTGAATACTTCCAGTTGTTTAGAATTATTCTAATATTGTCTTACCAGTAGTGCTAAGCAGCTTAAACTGAAACACCAAAAGAACTTTTGCTGGTTTTGCTTTTGCATATGTATCGTCACCGACTAATCAGCTATTCAGCTCTACTAGTGGCAACATTTGAATCACTAATTGGTTAAAGTACCATATTTTTTTTTTAGGAATCCATTTAGTTTGTTGAAAAAATATACTTTTTGTTATTTTTGGGGGTGCAGAATCAAATTATTCTTCAGTGTAAAAATTACAGAAGTCTTCTTAAATGTGAACGAAGAACAGCAACTGTATTGCAATGTGCTTGAAGGATACAATAGTTCCAATTTCTCATTAGGCGTCTAGAAACTCGATTACATTTTGAAAAGTGCTCATAACTAATTTCCATCTGCTTTGGGTATTATGTAGAAACGTCATACTGAACATCTGGCAGTTTTGCATCGTGACATTAAATAAACAACATTTTGCCATTCATTCTATCAGTTAACAATTCATCAAAATTTTCCAGTGAAAAGTTAAACCTGTTATTAGCTACAAAGAATACAGATAATTCACAACAAAAAAAAAAAACGAATTTTGTCTAATAAAAAAACTGAATTCTTCTCGATTATTATGAATAAAACTACATAAAGTATGAGCTATAAGTTTTAAAAGAAATTGAAAAAAACCCTAAAAATAAAAATAAAACAACTGCAGGTGTTAAGCAAAGAAAGATTTTTCCATTAAAAGTTATCAGGGTGAAATTTATTTACAGTTAAGATCCTTCACAATAAAACTTCTAGCTGTTCTTTTTTCTTCAGTCTTTTAAACAGCCTGATTTTATGTATTAGCGTAATTCTTTATATGTGATACAAGTTTTGAAACAGAAATACTGTTGTACATTATAAATCTTCATGTTCTTCAGTAAACTGAAGCGTTAGTGCCAAGAGAGCTCAACTTCTTGCTGAAACATACCGTTTACCAGCAGAATCTTTTGTTCAAAATTTGCATCTCAAAAATTTCCAACTTTTACATCTTAAGTGCCAAAAAAATTGTGAAATAATAAGTCTTCTTCAAATCAAAGTTATCCAAGAGTATCCTACGATTAGAAGTTGTTTGCAATTAACTGCAATGATAATTTAGTAGAGTTTAAAAAGCAGTAAACGTTGGAGATATTGTAGAAATCAATATATTGTTTAATCAAAGTTCATCTTCATAATCCGAAAAGAAAAATATATGAGAAAATATTCTAAATTTTAGTCACTGGGTCTACAAATCAGATTCAACTGAAGACACAATTAACTCACAATTGCCTTAGCTTTACCAAAGCTGTAAACAAGAAATTGCTGCTTTCTGAATAATTATTTCTGAATTAGAATTAAAGTTGTTCTTGTCTCAACTTTTTAAAATTACTTTTCAAAAAACAAAAACATTAAAAATGATATTTTTACAGATATCGATTATGAATGCATTGGCACTTTTTCATTAATGGCATTGCTAATTAAGCAATCTTATGATATCAAAACAATCAGCAATCTATAAAAGTTGATTTTTTAAAAATTACTAAATGCATTAATTTTCCTCAAAACTATGACGAAAAAAGAAACCTTATCACACACTGAAAATAAATGACAATCCATTTACAAAAACACTGCTACAGCCAACTAAAAAATTTTTATTGTTCAAGTATCGGGTATTGCAAAAGTTGATTTTAAGTATTGAAAAAGCATAAGCAAAACAAAAGTAAACTTTTGATTAGAAAGTAAGTTTGAAAAAAATCAAATGGACGAATAATAGAAGGATGACGACTGCTGAATTAACTGTACAGCTGGTTCAACACTGATGATAACTAGAAAGAAAATAAAAATAAATGTCGATATTTTACGGCAATATCTGGGGTTCAGTTAGAGGTTACAGTCATCTATAATTGGTGCTAAACTGAGACCACTAAAAAGATAGTTGTCATTCAGAGTCAAATTTTTGAAAATATTCATCAAGAGTAATTACTGACTAACAGAAATCCTTCAGTTGTTCTTATCCGTATTTTTAAGTTTATAACATTGTTTTTTCAAGATACTATCATTAAAGTTATCTTTGATCCTTTTTACCAGTAAAAATATTCTTGTAAAAATTAAATAGACCTCAAAAACCAACTACCTAAAGTACACAACATTTAAAGAATACAAATTCAGTTGTATAAAATTCTACCAAACTTGGAAAACACTAAATGAAAACTTTTATGTCGGTTGTTATCTGTCTGTTATTCAAAATTCTTAGAGCTTTTAAATAGAATCATAGAATAAACCTGAAAAATAAATTAATTCACATGAAATAGACTTTACATTATAAGATGCAAATCAAGATAAAAGCAAAAATATATATAGTGGTACAGTTTTTCTACTTTCTGTATTTACCGTATTGGATTATCTAACTGTTTTGTAACTCAAAAAATTTAACATTGTTAGAAAGCTTTTTTTTCTTCAGAACTAAACAGTAATAAGATATTTTGGAATCAGATTAGAAAAAAGAAAGAAACAGAGTTTTTTGGTTATAAATGTAAAGTAGAGCACAATGTTGGCACCTTTGTTAACACCTAATAAAGCTTTGTACAACATAAAAAAGTACTCCAACTTTATTCACATCACCATTACCACTGTTGCCAAATTATGGTAACTATTAAAGTTTTTTTGGCAGTGACATTACGACTGATAAGTCGTGAAAAAATTTTTTTCGGAGTTTTTCAAAATGCTGAAACATTATCAGCCAAAGAGTCACCAACTCCCTGTCTGCAGTTGGTATCCTGTTCTTCAAAGTTCAAGATATGTAGTTATCATAAAATTAGACACTTATACTCTTATTCAAATAAATACTTGTTTCTTTTTGGCTCTTCTTCAGGAACTCTGTATTTTTATGCACCATTTAAAAAGTTATAAATTTTTTTTTTTGTTAAAACTTTTTCATTAACTTTTTCATACCACAATTTAGTCAGTCCTTTTGCATTAAGCATGCCCGACTTGTATAACTGGCCAAAAAAAAGCAATTCATTATTCTTGAAATTTCCACTGAGAAAAAAAAAAAGGCAGTTGCAGGAACTGTGATAGTTTTTTCTTACTAAAAAATCCTCCTGATTTTCTAATTTTGTGAAAGTTTTGGTGGTCAGCTTCAAATTTCAAGCTGTTTCACTATCATTCTAAGTACTCCATCTTTGCGACAGCCTCACCTCCGCCTTTCCCTCTCTCCAGCAGCGCCAACCCTCTAACCAACCCCCAGCGACCCCCGTGGCCCGATTTCGGAGTTTTGCTAGTCTAGGTGGAGCTGAAAATGTCAATTCTAAAAATGTTTTACGCTCAAATTATACAAGCA